GAAGGCTACACAACAAGAATACTGAAAGCTACTTTCATGAGGTGCTACAATAGGGTACATACAAATTTTCAAACTCAGAACTTTGTTGAATGAAGAATTAACAAAAAAGAAAACATAATACATTATTTATTTCCAATATAGTCCCCATTAGGTAGAAATTTCTGAGTCACGGTTTCTTTTGTGAAAAATCAGTCTAATAGAACAATATGCATGTGAAACCACCAAAAAGTCCTTCAAAATTCTGATCATCCATGTGGCTTGTGCATTGAGCAAAGAATTAAAATGGGTCACATGAAAAATCAATATTTCAGGTGAAGCAGGTCGAAAAAGTTGCTCTGTAAATAACAAATTTGCAATATTTACTTCCATCAAACAAAAATAAAGTAGATATTTATATATACATTTCATGTGTCAGAGATAGACTCCCGAAAGAAAACTTGAGAATTTACTAGCAGAACAACAAAATGGAGACATCCAGCCGAAGCAAGTAGTCTATTGTCATAAACTCGAAAGTGACCTAAAGGAGAAATCCCAAAGCCAGGCCAAGATTAAAGTAACTATCAAGAGAAGAAAAAGAGGTGGCAATGAATCCAAGTATCTACTATGTTGGACATATAATTTTCCTATAAAGAAAACATGGAAAAAAGTAGGCAATGAATCCAAGTATCTACTATGTTGGACATATAATTTTCCTATAAAGAAAACATGGAAAAAAGTATTAACTAGATTTTCTCCAACTAGTAACTCTCTGTCTCTATAATCACGTGCTAGTTCATCAGTGTACACAGAATGAGGTTTCTACCATGACTCTAATATTACATAGAGATACCACATCTTAACTGTCTATAGGCTACATAAAAAAGGATATCAGAGTACAATCTCTGATACCATTGTCACATCACTGCATCGTAAGGTTATCAATTGGAAGAATACTCCTCGGATCCTCGTAAGTAGCTGCATGCAACATATGTACACAGAAACACAATAAAGGTCTTAGTATCACTGTTCATAGTATTCTGTTAAGACCTTGAACCAGTTCAGAGATAAACTCAGACTGGATGGTGCTTAGTTTTCATGATTTATATGATAACGGACATGCATGTTATATGAAATTCCATTACTGTGATTTATCATTATGAGCCTTGAGGTGTATAATGCCTTATGCTGGTTCTTTAAATGTGTTTATATATAAACAATTGCATAGCTGTGTCAACAATGTATACATTACTAGGTATTTCAGGTTTTGCCTATCCATGTATCTTGATGTGTCAGTGCGCACGCGACAAACTACGAAATCAATCTAAATAGGACCCATTTATGATACTACTCGAAAAAGAATCTACTCAATTAGACAAAACAATCAATACCATCTTGGTAGGTAACAAAAAAAGAATCCTAAATCACTAAATCTACAGCGCCAAAGCACCCTAAACCACCTTGGTTATGCTAGGATCAAGAATGATTTATGACATCCCATTAGCAATAACATTTGATAACCTGGTTATAATAGGAGAGATCAAAAAAATCCAAATATACAAGATCTGACCAAACCAGTTACATTCTATCAGAGTAGTGCCTGATAGATGGCATATTTGTGCACTTCCACCACCGCAAATACATTTGATGACTCAAATCTAACCCAAAAGAACTGTTCTATATTGGAAAGTAGCTGATTGTGCAATTTCATACAGCCAATTATTTCTTAGATTTTATACAGCCTACTATTTCTTTTGTGCTAAGCCTTCCCGAAGAGTATCCAGGAATAACAAAACTAGGGGAACAGAAGGATGAAATAGAGGTCTGATTAACACGGTAACTTTCTTTTGATGTCCTTTGTCATAATAATAAAGGGATTCCATTTTGGAAGAGAAAACAAGTGTGGGCTGCTTTAGGTCATGTTCGGAATCAAGAGGAAAAAAGCTGAAAGCAAGAGAATTGATATAAAAAAAATCAAGTGAAGTTCTTTTTTGTATAAGCAACTTCTGGAAGTAATTGATGGTTTTACATAATCTGAGTATGGCAAAGCCAGACGACACATACAAGGAGGGGAAAAACTTGAAGATCAAGGAATCAAAAATTACATATAAGTTGAAGGTCAAGGAATCACATTGAGCTAGGACATGAAGCTTAAAGAGTACCCATATGGTGATCAATTATCTACTGACTAGTTTGTCATTGGCCATTTAGGCTAAATAATCGACCCATTCTATTATAAGCTCACTAAGAGACATGTACGGAATTTTTCTTGCACCACGCAGAAATTACCATCTATTCAAAATGAATGGAAAATGCGCTTAATAAGTTGTTCCTTTTGAAGGTTGGTACTTGATATAGATTATAGCATATAGCTATATCAAGAAATTTAAATTCAAAACTTTGAATTACCAAAATTTTCTTTCTGCCTGAGTATTTTTCAAGCTTGTCCGTATAACTTGCAAGTAAAGATGCATTAGGTGCATGAACCCGCTCCCCCAAATCCCAGTATGCTCAAATTAACGTCAAATGGATTGTTCTGCTGACATCTGAACTCCACTCTCAGAATTATGTATAAATCAAAGATTTCTGGGATCATTTTTTTTTTCAGTTAACATCTGGACTTATATAAATGCAGATTACGTTTAAATCACACATTTCGGGTACCTTTGTTTCCAGTTACTTGAGAATTGAAGCTGACAGAGTTACCTTAGACAACATCTGAATAATTACATTGTATGCTTTCACATTCTGAAAGAGGCAAAAAATTATCTAGAGATCCACAATAACTTCAAGCTGTCCAAATGTAATATGCCCTTTGAGATTCGTATTACTCTGTGTAACCATCTATTCTACAATGAAACATGGCATCATGATTGGGGGAAGATTTATTTTATTATTATTATTATTATTATTTTGCTTCCAAGAAACATCCTCATATATCTTCATGGTTAAAGATGTCTACAGTACACTTTGAAAAAAGAAAAGGGAAGATAATAGAAAGCAAATTAAAGTTCCCAGTAATAACGCATTTAACAGTGACAACACAAACTTGTTGATCCAGTTAGGGTAAAAGGACAGAAGCTGTTCAAAGAGAGTAAACCCACCCAACAAATAGTTTGCATACCATTGATACCAATAAGGAATAGCAGAAACCTGGTAACTGCTCAAGACAAGTACTCTGAAAGTTGCTTTATAATTAAGACCTACCAATTCACCAGTATTCAAATGCCAACCAATATTAGATGTGAGATGAGTTTACATGAAGAAACCTCAGCGTGTGAAGTTTGGAGAGCTGCCTAAGATCCTTCACAAATATTTTTTATGTGAGTCTCATGAAAGCTTCAGTTAGGCTGCTCCCAGCATTTCTGGTAGATCAAATTGTGTAACAAGTTACTAGAAAAGAAATAAAAGGTGGAAAAATAAAACAGAAAGGCAAAGTAAAATGGTTGTCACAAGAAACGAAAATTTCAGGTATCAACATAATCATAGGATAAACGCTATCATTTAAATGGTAAGGAACCTTAAGGAGAAAATGCCATATCATTCTACTGTAAGATGAAAGGGATCACAGCAATCATGCTACAAAACAAATCTCAAACGAATAACTTGTGCAAATGCCTTTTTAATTAACTTTTGTTTCTTAGAACCTTTATCTCCAATTAAGGAGTCCCCTCACAATAAAATAACAGAAAACAAGATGGTTACTGTAGATTTCTAGTCAATGAGTGCTCCAGAATAGTTGACCATGACTCAAACAAAAATCCTAACTCTGCACTAATAATCAAGTTTTGTCAATTAGGCTTAACATCTCAACCTTGTAGAAATTATCTTTTTGGGTTGTGAAGTCGGAGTCCGGCCAACTGCATCCTTGTCATATATGCATGATGATCTGGACACAGGATTAATGAATGCATCCTTCGCATTGTATGCAGAATCACAACTAACAATCTCGTAACATGAAATATAATGTCATGCATTATAATTGAAATGATCCACCTAACAAGATTGGGGCTACTTTTCATGACAAATAAAAGAATTTTTTATGAGTCATACTACACTCATCACTGCAATCAAGTTTTGTCCTTTGCAGCTTTCAGTACTTCATCAGGAATTTCAAGATTCCACGATGATACAAACTCTGTCAAAGTTAACCTCATGGGAAAATTTGAAGTATATAAAAGATACACAGAATAGCAGTAGCAGTAGCAACACCATACCCTATTAGATGATTGTATTGCTGATGCTTTTATTTGAATGTTTATTCACGTTCAATCTTAATCCATTCAGCAATAGCATTGAATTTTGTACTAAATGAACACAGAGAACTATCAGCAAGCTGTCAGTTTTGGCAACACCATACCCTTTTGGGGGGTCAGTTTTGGCAGGGAATCAGGGGCAAAAGAAGCAAAACAAACAGCCCCTAATTGAAAACCAATGGCACCTCAAATTAATCACGCAACCACTCATCCCTCTAAGGTCCATCCTAGCTTCAGATAATTAAAAAAAGTGGAAATGTGAAAAGGCAATCAGGATATAGAAGCCTGGGACATAAATGAACCCTGCTGCTCTGTAAGTCAAAGCTACAAGTTTAAGCACTGGATTTTGGAAACTTTAATCTCTAATGAAATGATTTTCTTTTAATGAAATAACTTCTGACATTCCGTTAGGAGGGGAGCACTTTACGATGCACTAAAACAACATAAGGGCCCGTTTGTTTTGATTTTTTGAAGAGGAAAGTGGTGTGAAAGCTGCCAAAACTGACAAAAACTGACAGTTTTGGCAGGCTTTCTTGCAAAAACACCTTTTTAAAAGGCGTTTTTGCAAGAAAGCCTGCCAAAAGTGACAGTTTTGGCAGGCTTTCCTCTTCAAAAAAAAATCAAAACAAACGGACCCTAAGAGGCGGCACTTTACGACGAAAATGCAAGTCAAATAAAGAATGATTATGCAGTGATCGAGCAAGTAGAGTTTTCTCATATGTTAAATGTTGAACAATCATCCTACAAAAATGCAAACTCGTGTGCTAATGCCTAATATATTACCGACAACATGATACACGAACAACGTGGTCTTGGTACCAAATTTTCCTCAAGAAAAGTTTGTAGCTACAATGTATAGATTAGCAACTGAGCTAGCCCACAATATCTCCAAACAAACTCCATAGTTAATCCAGACAAAACAGTTATCCTGCCAGAAGTTTTAAACATTTCTCCCTTCTTATATCTTTCCCATGAAAAAAGTTAAGAACGCACGCTATTATGCAATAAAATTTGTAATTGAACTTAACAAATAGTGGGGGGGGGGGGGGGGGGGGGATCAACATCAATTAAGTGATTCTAAAAAGAACCCAAAATTTGTAAAAATGAGCGACAATAATATTACCTTTGAAAAGGCAAACCTCTTTAGCGCAGTGGGCGTTTGCAGCCAAGATGACGAATGAGATTGATAATGATTAGGATATCTTGCCCAACTGGGCCTTAAAACAAAAGCACCATTTGCGAGTGCTACGTGCTCGTCAGTAGTCCTTTAAAACAAATCTTTGAAATAATTAGAACTTTATTCCCTCAATCGTTCGAGCTTGCTGTTGTTCCCTCGGTTCCCTAAGTATTTTGAAAATTACTTTCACCCCAATCATGTGACATTTCTATTTAGGTATCACAACTCTCGATAAGCTGCTTTCAATTAGTCCAATGTTAATTATTCACTTCTACCCTTAATTGAAGAGATTATTTGGCAGTCTAAATTTTTCAAACAACATTAGAACCGAAGATATCTAACTAAGGGCAGTTTCAATGACATTTGAGCGACGGACTTCCGAATATGCAAGATCTATGAAGGACTCACTGTCCCGAAAATACCCTCATGTCTATGTGAAAAGGAGAGGATGAATATGAATCCGTTTTTATCCGGGTAGAGAAACATCCATGAAGGATTCTTGCAATAGCTCTCGTAGAGAATAATTATACATTCACGTGTAAGAATTGTGCACAGTCTTTACACAGCTCGATGAGGAGTTTATTGATTACTAGTTTGCAGCCCCGCTACAAAGTCAAACCTTTATTTTTTATTTCCGTAATAATAATTTGTATTCAATGTTCGTGCCCGCAGCGGAAATTCGCGCATCTACATCCGGTGCGCAAAGGTGCACCAACATAGAGATTAGATCACAACAGAATTCTTGTTCACAAAGGAAACAAGAACCGGGACAAGCAAAATATCTCAATCAAAGTAGAAATATGCAACTCTTCCTCTTCACAGTTTTTAGGATTGACCTGTCAGGAAACTACAAGCTATTACAAATCACGGCAAGAACACAATTAACGTGTTCGACAAATTGGCTTACGTCCACGCGGCAAGGAGGACGGTAGATCTACTATTAGAGAGAGAGAGAATACAAAATAGCAGTTTACAATCACACAATCCTAAACCCTCTACACCAATCTTTCAAACCTGCTCAACCAAAAGGATCATGGCGCCAAATAGGATTTTTCTCCTGCTCTTTTGCGCACCGAGAAAGCCCGAAGAAAAAATCTCACAGCCGTTTTGCACGCTCTCGCCCCAAGATAGTGACGTCGATGCACTGCGCGCCTTTTGCCACCTTCCTCCAAGTCCTCTTTCACGGCTGTCCAACCCTCTCAGCGGTCGCTTTGCTGATCACAAAAATCGCAGCGCAGCCACTCTCGTCCACCTTCTCTTCACCGAAACCCTAGGAGCAACATCAGGTTCTATTTTATAGGCCTGGCGCTCCAGGTGAAAAACGTGTCCACCAATTCTCTGCCTGGTGCTCGTTCCGCCACGGCGCAACTTTCATAATTCTTGCGTACGTGCAATCTCTTACCACTTCACGTCTGCTGCTCTTCAACCGCGGAAGAGGATGGACCCCACCATGGAACTTCACAACGCCTTTTTATCTCGTGGCTCGTGTAACATGGGTGGCCGCACTAGCCTCACTTTGTTCATACATTCTCCACATCGGTGAAGTTTTGATCCAAAAAACTGCACGCCGACATCAGTAGCACCCAAGACTGTCTCACTTGTCTTGTGTCCAGATACGCCGTAAGTTAATCACGACAACGGACCTCAATCCATAATCAAGTCGGAAACCGAATAAGAGTCAGACAATCTCAGCCCCATCAACTAATCCAACTGGTGCAATCGTAAAGATCGCTACATATCCTCTTGCCTCAGACACTCAAGCCGAAGTAGTTCACACCAATGGCGCCTCCCAAAGCCCTCATTCACTAGTAACGGGAGTTCGCGAGCCTTTCCAACATCACGATCAAAGGTTTCACCGGCTGATAGCACCTCTATGCCACAAACCTAAACTAAAACACATCCAAACATTACCACCGGCAGATGAACCATGGTCAATATCCAGGACTCCTCTATCAGCTACACTCGAATCCGATCAGCCCATCCATCCACTCTGCATCCAAATAACATGATTCCAGATATGTGTCCATCAGCTGAATCCCACAATGATGCCAGTATATGATCTGTAAATATGGTGTAGTAACTTCACGCGCAACATGAGTAGGCATCACTCTCTACACCCGCTGTGTATCCACCAAAGATCTGATCAACTCACTCTCACGCACACTACCGAGAGTTAAACGTACATATCTCTCTAGAACAAAGTCAAAAGCCAATACCTGATAATCAAACACGCCGTCGAACTCCAAATGTGCTATCCGATCAAATATCACAGTCCACGATGTGACCAAGTACTGGGTATCAAACATCCGACGTAACCCAAGATCTAAAACAGCTCACCAGATCCAAAATCTCTACATGCTAGCGTAGTCGCGTTAACCTATGCATAGATGGTCCAAACATGTGTCGTAGCCCGCACACGGATGCTAATGCTGCGACATCCAAACTCGAATCCTCACTTACAGAAAAGGAACATGCTCCCCAAATCTGCCATCGTCATCACGTCGCCTTAAAGTTTCCCCACTAATGAAGTGTCTCCTATTCCCGTTAAGCCTGCACAAACGCTAAGAAAGAACCCCTACCATACATCCATGAACGGTCGGCGTTACCTTTCTATCAACACACTCTCTATTGTGTTGCGTCTTTCTCGGACTTCACACCAACGCGGGACTTGGTTGGCAACTCAACCGAATCCTAGACAATCCCAACCTGGCTGGAACCACATACTTATTACCTCCCATAATACTCCGGCTTGGAATGCGCGCAGCCGAATGCCTGACGAACACCCCCTCAGAGACCCCTACGGAATGATGGCATATGAAGCTTGCCAATACTTCATCCCCGGTCTTCTTGCCCATTACCAATGTCACCAGGACTGTCAACTGCGCAGGTCAACAACATCGCTCACCTCAACCTCTATGCACGGTATACCAATCAAATAACCCAGGCATCAAAATAACACGCGAGCCCACGTCTAAGGCCAGTCTGGATGAAGTCATCCAGCTCCCCTATCACTGGCCGTGCTTTCTGAGCAAATAAGTACAAACTTGTCCGCTTCATGATGCCCTTTCATAATCATGGAACCTAATGTGACCTTCAAACTGTGCATCCACCAAGATCACCCCTATAGCCTGGCTAGCCGTCACAAAGCCTCCTAAGTAAAATGATGTTTCCATCTTCAATTATGGCAGACGAAACCTCACTCATCGAACTTCTCGTATCATCCTGTCAACTCATCCCTGACATCCGAATAGTACCAATATCACCAATAGAGCATGAGGCATGTTCATTACCCCATCCGAGCACGGTAATCCTCTCTTTTCAACTTCTGAAAAGCTATAGGAGAACATAAATCCTGTCCTTAGGACAAAACGTAGTAAAAGCACGCTGGACTTATACATCCACTTCGTAAGTCGGCATTCACAGAACTGATGGTAGTGCGAATGGAACGAATAAGCCAGAAGAAATCCACAATCCTGAATGTTATCACTAGCTTCGACAACCATTCACCTCTGAAGCTGTAGACAATTTCCGCTTATTCTTCTCAGCTCGATCCTAATTTGTGGGCATTCATCTTTCCAAATGTCCATCACTCTTTATAAAAGCCACACTCGATTCGCTATATGAATGCCACGATTGCGACCTTTAGACCTAGGCCGACCGTCCTGGCTCGCGGTTTGAACGCACGGCCATCGGGATTACTAATCATCTCCCGAATGCCTTCTCGGCAGGATTCAGTCGGACACTGCTTTCCTCAACTCATAATTACACAATGTTGAGGTAACCTCATTCGTAGCTAACAGTATTGTTCTTCCATTAATCATAGTTAGGATAAAAGTACACATAATCCATCCTCGCACGGCAACGAACGACAAAAGTAGCATCGCGCCTTGTCTTCATCCTCACCAGCATATCCACATCTAGCCCATTGTATGATAAGTAGCTTTGATGAGGTTTGTTAAATGCTCCCTAATGGAAACTCCCATCTTCAAATCCTAAACTGCGTTAAAAACCTCTTCTTCAAGTGAAGCCTGATTTCAATATGCTCCTTAGTAATAGATAACTGTTCATTGAGTATTTCCACATCTTCTTCGCCGTACGTCTCGTCATCCCACATCATAATAAGGTTCTGGCGTCAACGAGATCCGAATAACTCCACACGCACCCTAATATCATCTTCTTCCAAATATTTTTCTTCCATATTCACAGCGACGGGTTTCTCTTGCACACTCAAGAAGTTCTTCCAAGTTTTGAGCGTGCTAACCATCCATCACCTGGCATCTCCAAAACCACAATTGATCTTACCGTCAAACCTTCGAACATCAATCTTCCATGTTATTAATGTTCAAACTATGTATCGTCTATCGTAAGAGAATGAACGCGTACCCCGATTTATGTAGCTTGCATTTCTCTCTATATTGCTCGATCTAACTCTCAAATAGAACTCCCAACAGGCGAATCCTTCGAACAAGCTCCTCCAAGTCATAACCCGGAGCTCTGATACCACTTTTGTGCGCACGCGCGAAATTCGACAACAACCCGCGTGCGCAAGGTCGACAACAAGAGAATTAGATCATAACGGAATCTTCGTATTCAACGCAAAGAAACAAGAATCGAAAGCAAAAATATCTCTAATTAAAGTAGATATCAGCTCTTCTCTCCATTAATTTTAGACTGGACGTGTCGAGGAATCTACAAGCCTATAACAAATTCATGACAAGCAACAGCAAATTTAACGTGTAAGTTCGGCGCAAATTGGCTTACGTCCATAGGCGTAAGAGGGGGAGATCTTACTTATTAGAGAGAAGAATTACAATAGGCGTTTACAATCACATAATCTAAACCCTACACAATCTCTCAAACCTCTTACAAAAGGAAGCCGCCCAAATAGATTTTTTCTCTCTTAGGCTTATGAGCCAAGAAAAATCCTATTTGGCGCTTGTCCTTGTGTAAGAGGTTTTGAGAGAATTTGTGTGAGGGGTTAGATAGTGTATTGTAACCCTATTTGTATTCTTCCTCCTAAATAGTAGATCATCCACCTCCTTAACCCTAGGACGTAAGCAATGTTGCGCGAACTACGTTAAACTTTTGTGTTCTGTCATGAATTTGTAAGCTCTTGTAGATTTCACTCGACAGGTCGTCCTAATTAATGAGAGGAAGAGCTGATATCTCACTTTATTGAGATATTTTCGTGCTGTTCGAATTCTTGTTTCCTTTGGAAACAAGAATTCCGTATGATCTAATCTCTTGTTGTGTACCTTGCGCATCGCGGGAGGTGTTTGTCGAAATTTCCGCTGCGCCAAACAAGTTGTATCACAGAGCTCCGGGTAGGACTTGGGGAGCTTGTTCTCGAAGGACACTCGCGTGTTAAACGTTACTATTGAAGAGTAAATCGACAATATAGGAAGAAATAGCAGGCACATCGGGTACCGAGTTCTCTTAGAAGAACGATACATATGTTGAACATTAATAACATGAAGATTGTATTGTTTATCGCAAGTTTGACGTAAGATACAATTTTGTTTGTGAGATGCTCAGGGCTGATGGATGCGTTAGACGCTCAAAACTTGGAAAAGAGACTCCTTGAGTTCACTAGAGAACCTGCTGATATGAAGAAAATATTTGGATAGAAGATGAATTATTAGGGCGTGTGGAGTCTGATTCGGTCAGTGCTTGACCAGAACTTATCTTATGATGTGATGAAAGCGAGACGTCGCGAAGAGAGATGTGGGTATATATCTACTCTACATGAAAAGTATCTACTAAGAGGATTGAGAAATACTTCACTTGAAAGACAGAGGTTTTACCAGTTTACGATAAAGATGGAGTTTCCATTAGGGACATATTAGACAACGCTGCACAAAGCTACTTCACTCCGAATGGCTAAATGTGGTATTATCATCGGTTGACGGATGAGAGACAAGCCGATGCACTAACTGTGTGTCTTCGTTGCCACGAGGATGAGTTATTGTGTACGTTTTATCACCTATACTCTGATTAATGGACAGAAACTAACGGTAGCTAATGAGGTTATCCTCAACATTGGTAAATTCATGAGTTGAGGAACAGAGTGTCGATGAATCCTCCGAGAAGGCATCGGGAGATGCATTAGTAGTCCTGGCGTGGTTCAAACCGAAGCTAATGGAGGTCGTAGTCTCAAAGGTCACATCTGTGGATTCATTAGGAATCAGTGTGCTTTTTATAAGGGATGGGACATTGGAACAGATGAATGCGCCAAATTAGATCGAGCTGAGAGTAAGGGGAAAATGTACAAAGCTCAGAGGGAATGTGTCATAACTCGAGTGATAACAATTCAGATTTGGATCTCTTCTGGCTGAACTCTTATTCGCACTACATCAGTTGTGCTGCCGACTACGACGTGGATGTTAGATCCAGGTGCTTCTTACTACGTTTGTCGCAGAGGGATTTGTTCTCTAAGCTTTCAGAAGTTGAAAAGAGAGGATACCGGCTCATGGGTACTGACCGCATGCATGCTCTATTGTGATATTGCGTACTACACTTCGATTATGGATGAGTGGGACACCCCAGTGGAGGAGCATGAATGCAATACGAGAGTTGGCTGAATGTGAGGTCGTTCCATAATTGAAGATGTACATCAATTTTTACTTAGAGCTTTGGAGGCGCAGGCCTATAGGTGATCTGGTGATGCACGTTTGGAAGTCACCATTAGGTTCCATGATTATTGATAAAGGGCATCAGAAGGATGCAAATTTGTATTATTTCTCAGAAAGCACGGCAATATATGGGAGCTGATGACCTTCACTCAGACCTCGCTAGACCGATGCGTGTATTGAATGCTGGTTATTTTGATGGTAATACCGTCCGCATAGTTGTCGCAGAGTGTTATTGACGGGCTCAGTTTGAAGTCCTGTGAACGACCACTTGGTATGAGCAAGAAGAACCGGGATGAAGTTTGGCACTCTATCATCTGCATTCGAGGGGTCTTCCTGAGGGTGTTCAGTCAGGCATTCGGGCGCTTCCAAGGAGTATATTGGGAGTAATAATAGGGTTCCGCAGTGGGGATTGTTCTAGGTATTGGTGAGTTGCCAACTCAAGTCCCGTTGGTCGTGAAGTCCTAGAAGACGGAACAAAAAGAGAAGTGTGTTGATAGAAAGTAACGCGCGACGTTCTGATTATGGTAGGCGGGTTTCTAAAAAAGAACCCAAAATTTGTAAAAATGAGGACATAAATATTACCTGAAAAGGGCAAAACCCTCTTAGCGCCAGTAGGGCGTTGAGCCAAGATGACGAAGAGATTGATAATATTAGATATCTTTCCAACTGGGCCTTAAAACAAAGCCCATTTGGAGTGCTACGTGCTCGTCAGTAGTCCTTAAAACAAATCTTTGAAATAATTAGAACTTATTCCCTCAAATCGTTGAGCTTGCTGTTGTTCCCTCGGTTCCTAAGTTATTTTGAAAATTATTCACCCAAATCATTGAAATTTCTATTAGGTCATCACAACTCTCATAAGCTGTTTCAATTAGTCCATTTAATTATCACTTCTACCCTTAATTGAAGAGATTATTTGGAGCTAATTTTCAAACAACTTAAGAACCGAAGAATCTAACAGCAGTTCAATGATTTGAGGGACGGACTTCCGAATATGCAAGATTTGAAGGACTCATGTCGAAAATACCCTCATGCTATGTGAAAGGAAGAGGATGAATATGAATCCGTTTTTATCCGGGTAGAGAAACATACATGAAGGATTTGCTTGAATAGCTCTGTAGAGAATAATTATACATTCACGTGTAAGAATTGTGCACAGGCTTACCAGCTCGATTGAGGATTTATTGGATTACTAGTTTGCACCCCGTACAAAGTACAACCTTTATTTTTTATTTCCGTAATAATAATTTTGTATTCAATGTTGTGCGCAGCGGAAATTTCGGCAGCACATCCGGTGCGCAAGGTGCACAACAAGAGATTAGATCACAACAGAATTCTTGTTTCACAAAGGAAACAAGAACCGAAAGCAAAATATCTCAACAAAGTAAAATATCAACTCTTCCTCTCATCAGTTTTAGGATTGACCTGTCAAGGAAACCTACAAGCTATTACAAATCACGGCAAGAACACAAATTTAACGTGGTTCGACAAATTGCCTACGTCCACGGGGCAAGGAGGAGGGAGATCTACTATTAGAGAGAGAGAATACAAATAGAGTTTACAATCACACAATCTAAACCCTCACACAATCTTTCAAACCTCTCACAAAAGGACAGCCGCCAAATAGGATTTTTCTCCTCTGCTTTGCACGAAGCCGAAGAAAAAATCCACAGCAGCCTTTTGCACGCCGCCCAAGTCGATGCACGCGGCCTTTTGCACCTGCTCCAAGTCCTCTTTTCACGCTGTCCAACTCTCGCGTCTGCCTTTGCACAAAAATCGCACCACAGCCACTCTCTCCCCTCTCTTCACCCGAAACCCTAGGAGCAACATCAGGCTATTTATAGCCTGGCGCCCACGTGAAAACGTGTCCACGAATTCTTGCTGGTGGCCCCCACGCGCAACTTCATAATTCTTGCGTACGTGATCTCTTCACGTGGTTGCTTCTCTTCACGCGGAAAGGATGGCCCCACCATGAACTTCACAACGCTTTCATGCTCGTGCTCGTGAACATGGGTGGCCCCACTTCACCCACTTTGTTCATAATTCTCCACATCGGTGAAGTTTTTCCAAAAACTGAGCCGACATCAGAGCAACCAAATGTCTCACTTGTTGTGTCCAGTACGCCGTGAAGTTAATTCACGACAACGGACTCAATCCATAACAAGTCGGAAACCCGAATAAGAGTCCAGACAATCTCACCCCCATCAACTAATCCAACCTGGCTGCATCGTAAAGACTGCCTACATATCCTCTTGCCTAAGGAATCAAGCCGAACGTAGTTCACCCAATGGCCTCCAAAGGCCTCAATTCACTAGAAGAGTTCGCAAGCCTTCTCCAACATCACGATCAAGTTTACGGCTGATAGCACCTCCAATGACCCTAAACTAAAACAATCCAAACATTACCACCGGAGATGAACCAATGGTCATATCCAGACTCCATCTATCAGCTACACTCGAATCGATCAGCCTATCATCTGCATCCAAAATAACATGATTCCCAATATGTGTCACATCAGCTGGAATCCCAAATGATGCAGTATGATCTGAAATATGTGTAGTAATCTTCACCCAACATGGAGTAGCATCACTCTCCACCCGCTGTGATATCCCAAAGATCTGATCACCACTCTCCACCTACCGAGAGTTAAACGTGACATACCTGCTTAGAACAAAGTCAAAAGCCAATACCTGATAATCAAACACGCCTCTGACTCCCAAATGTGCTATCGGATCAAATATCACATCCACGATGTGACCAAGTACTGGGTAGTCAAACATCCGACGTAACCCAAGATCTAAAACAGCTCCACCAGATCCAAAATCTCTACATGCAGTAGTCGGTAACCTATGCATAAGATGGTCCAAACATGTCGTAGCCCGCACACCGATGCTAATGCTCGACATCAAACGTCGATCCTCCTACAGAAAGGAACAGCTCCCCAAATCTGCCATCTCATCACGTCGCCTTAAAGTTTCCACACTAATGAAGTGTCTCCTATTGCCGTAAGCTCGGCACAAACGTAAGAAAGAACCCCTACCATAATCAGAACGTCGGGTTACCTTTCTATCAACACACTTCCTCTATTTGTTGCGGTCTTCTAGGACTTCACACCAACGGGACTTGGTTGCAACTCACCAATACCTAGAACAATCCCCAACTGCGGAAACCACATACTTATTACCTCCCAATAATACTCCCTTGGAAGGCCCCCGAATGCCTGACTGAACACCCCTCAGAAGACCCCTCGAATGATGGATAGAAGTGCCAAACTTCATCCCGGTCTTCTTGCTCATACCAATGGGTTCACAGGACTTCAAACTGCAGGTCAAAACACTCCTCAACAACCTTTGCTCATACCAATGGGTTCACAGGACTTCAAACTGCAGGTCAAAACACTCCTCAACAACCTATGCACGGTATTACCAATCAAATAACCCAGCATCAAACAAACTGCAGGTCAAAACACTCCTCAACAACCTATGCACGGTATTACCAATCAAATAACCCAGCATCAAATAACACCACAGTCTAGCCGAGTCTGATGAAGTCATCAGCTCCCTATCATCTGCCGTGCTTCTGAGCAAATAATACAAATTGCTCCTTCTGATGCCCTTTATCATAATCATGGAACCTAATGTGACCTTCAAACGTGCATCCACCAAGATCACCCTATAGCCTGCTGCCTCCAAAGCTCTAAGTAAAATGATGTTCATCTTCAATTATGGAACGAACCTCACTTCATCCAACTCTCGTATCATCCTGTCACTCATCCTAATCCGAATAGTACCAATATCACCAATAGAGCATGCATGTTCATTACCCATGAGCACGGTATCCTCTCTTTTCAACTTCTGAAAGCTAGAGAACAAATCCCTCCTAGGACAAACGTAGTAAGAAGCACCTGGATCTAACATCCACTTCGTAGAGTCGGCATCACAAACTGATGGTAGTGCGAATAACGAATAGCCAGAAGAATCCAAATCTGAATTGTTATCACTAGTCTTGACAACATTCACCTCTGAAGCTTGTACAATTTTCCCCTTATTCTTCTCAGCTCGATCTAATTTTGGGCATTCATCTTTCCAATGTCCATCCTCTTTATAAAAAGCACACTGATTCCTATGAATCCCACGATGTGCACCTTTAGACTACGACCTCCTGCTTCGGTTTGAACCACGGCCATGGACTACTAATGCATCTCCCGATGCCTTCTCGGAGGATTCATCGACACTCTTCCTCAACTCATAATTTACCAATGTTGAGGTAACCTCATTGTAGCTAACAGTAGTTCTTCCATTAATCATAGTTAGGATAAAAGTACCATAATCATCCTCGGGCAACGAACACATCTTCCATTAATCATAGTTAGGATAAAAGTACCATAATCATCCTCGGGCAACGAACACAAAAGTAGCATCGCCTTGTCTTCATCCTCAACCATGCGGGCAACGAACACAAAAGTAGCATCGCCTTGTCTTCATCCTCAACCATGATATCCACATTAGCCATGTATGAAAGTAGCTTTGTGAGGTTGTTAATATGCTCCCTAATGGAAACTCCCATCTTCATCCTAAACTGGTAAAACCTCTTCTTCAAGTGAAGCTGATTCTCAATGCTCTTAGTAAGATACTTTTCATTGAGTATTTCCCACATCTTCTTCGCCGACGTCTCGTTCATCACATCATAAATAAGTTCTGGCGTCAAGCATGACCGAATAACTCCACACGCCCTAATATTCATCTTCTTCCAAATATTTTCTTCCATATCAGCAGGTTTCTCTTGCAACTCAAGAGTCTCTTCCAAGTTTTGAGCGTCTAACGCATCCATCACCTGGCATCTCCACAAACCAAAATTGATCTTACCGTCAAACTTCGAAACATCAATCTTCATGTTATTAATGTTCAAACTATGTATCGTCTTCGTAAGAGATGAACCCGATGTGCTTGATTCTCCTATATTGTCGATCTAACTCTTCAAATAAGAATCCAACAGCGAATCCTTCGAACAAGCTCCCAAGTCTAACCCGGAGCTCTGATACCACTTGTTGTGCGCAGCGGAAATTTCGACAACACCTCCGGTGCGCAAGGTACACAACAAGAGATTAGATCATAACGGAATTCTTGTTTCACAAAGGAAACAAGAATCGAAAGCAAAATATCTCAATAAAGTGAGATATCAGCTCTTCCTCTCATTAATTTTAGGACTGACCTGTCGAGTGAATCTACAAGCTATTACAAATCATGACAAGAACACAAATTTAACGTAGTTCGGCAAATTGCTTACGTCCATAGGGTAAGGAGGGGGAGATCTACTATTAGAGAGGAAGAATACAAATAGGGTTTACAATCACATAATCTAAACCCTCACACAATCTCTCAAACCTCTTACAAAAGGACAGCCGCCAAATAGGATTTTTCTCCTCTGCATGAAGCCTAAGAAAAAATCCATAACAGCCTTTTGCACGTCGCCCAAGTTAATATACGCGGCCTTTTGTACCTGCTCCAAGTCCTCTTTGCACGCTGTCTAACTCTCGCGTCTGCCTCTACACAGAAATCGCACGCAGCCGCTCTCTCCCCTCTCTTCACCCGAAACCCTAGGAGCAACATCAAGCTATTTATAGCCTGGCGCCCACGTGAAAATGCATCCACGAATTCTTACTGGTGGCCCCCA